GTATTGTGTAATTAACTTGAACCATTGTGTATTTAACTCAAATCATTGTGTATTTAACTCGAATTTTGCTACAGTAAGTTCCATTCTTAAATATGGGTCATCCATAAAACCAGACATTCTTAACCCGGGGATTACCTGTATTCATTAGGTTAAAGATGTGGCTTTGAAATAATAATATGATTAGCCTGAAGCTGTTTAGGAGATGCTTTTAGACCTACCAGTAATGTTCACTTTGGAAGGATAGATAGATTTTTCATGTTTTCCTGTTGTGATGCACTGCTTCCTACTCTGGCTACTTGGGCTTCATTTTTCTCTACTCTCTCAGAGCACTAAATAACTTCAACAATTGGCTTGTGTACAAATTGAGTTCTTCTTTCAAGTTTTAAGAGGTGGATGGTCCTTGTGTTGTCATGGCCTTCACACAAGGATGGATTCATGGAAAGTAAATAGAACACGTAAGCTTGAGTTAATTTCTAAATGGATTTATTGTGGATTTTATGGATCTTTTTGCCTGGCATTTGCACTGATTTACATAACCCAGCCCTTCATAACTGAGAGATATAAAGGCATCCTTTCTGAGCTTGTGCTGTGTATTCTCAGATATTTCTCTATTCTGCTTTCTTTGTTCCTTCCATTGCTTTTTGCAGGTATTTAAACCCATGGTTCAAAAGAGAATCTAATGTAGCTAAGTGGGTAGAAGATGTGAATAAAAACACTGAAGGACCCTACTTTAGGTATTTTGTGAATTAATTCTCTATAATCTTTAAGAGCGGTGTAAGCATATACCAGATATTATGGGACCCCTTTCTTGTCTCTTCCAATACAAGTAATTTCTTTTAGATGCCAAGGGCTCTTTGTTCATTGCTGTCTTTCGAAGGCTTCATTGTGCAATTACAATTCTTTTCTGAATGTCTTAATGAAGCCTTTTGAAAACAATACTCATGGTGCTTGCATTCCCATCACCATCTTTAGCTTTTAGCAGCTTTCTCTTTATTTAATGCAAAATAATGTTTTAAGGCCATGATCCGAGTCTTCCACTAATCAAGTAGCATTGATAGTTAAAATTTACTGCATTGAAGCCAATAGCTTTATAACATGCTTAACGTGCAGTTATATGCCCTTATATTTAGGGGACAATTCCACTTGCAAGAAATAAACCAAATGTTTCAGAAGACATTTAGAGCATCGTGCTGTTATCTTTCAAATGCCTGTAGAAAAGAAAAGTGTTAAATTGCAGTTGTGAGCAGAATTTTACCCTGATGCTTAAATAGAAATACAGGTAGTCCTTGCTTAATGGCCATTCATTCAGCGACTGTTTGTAGTTATGGCAAAGCTGAACAAATTCCCCCTACTTACTCCCAGTCCTCAAAGTTACAGCTGTTGCAGTGCCCTGCCATTCTCCAAATCGTGCGCCCTGTTTTCACAATACTTTGGAAGGCCTCAGAAGCTTTCTGAAGGCTTTCTGAAGCATCACGAGAATGGCGCAAGCGGCTTCAGGAAGAAGACCAGGAGTTGCCTTGCATAGCGCCAGGCCAGGCATGTCTTGTCAGCAGCAGCAGAAGGTTGGTGAAGGTCAGCTGGGCATGATAGGGCCTGCGGAGTGCAGGGTGGCAGGGGTGGCTAGAATTTACACTGTGGTGCTCAGATGGGTGGCCATGGCGCAGGGCTTGAGGTGGCACTCCTTGCTAGTGGTGCTGGGGCTGAAGTAGAGGCCCCAGGGCAGTGATGGTCCTCTGCTTCAGTCCCTGTGTTGCCGCCACCAAGTGACACTGTGCAGGGCAGCCCAAAGGGTTGGGGGGAGATAGGTAGCGGGGGAATTGAAGAGGAGGCAGTCCCTTACCTTACCGAGGCTTGCAGCTGGGAGAGACCAAGCCAGGAATGGCTTGGATCGGGGTGGGTCCTCATCTAAAGACCGGTGGGATTCGGTTAATGATGGTAACGGGAATTGCTGGGGTTGCCGTCGCTAAGCAATCTGTCACATGACGTTGCGCTTTACAACCGCGTTGCTCAGCACTGTAAATTCCAGTCCCAATTACCATCATAACTTGAGGACTACCTGTAAACTCAGCTAGCATTTAGAAATAAATATACTTACCGATGGTTAACTACAAAAGGGAATATACGCAAGTATATCAACAGAGCATACACATACTGTAACTTATGCATTAGAGGGCACTACAGAGATTTGCTGAAAATAATTAATTGCTCTTTAAAGAAAAGGAAGATATATTTTATGAATATTCAGTTTGGGTTATGTTTTATTTGTTCACCCATTGGTAGCAATCAAATTTAACAGATCAGAAAAAAAACATTTTCTAAAAATTCAACAACTTTTAAGTAAAACTGTTTGTGTCAGAAGTGTGTTCAATATCATTGGAGTATTATCTATCTATGTAGTTGCTAAGAATCGATAATGACTTGTTGGCACATAACCAATCTTTAGTCATTATATATCCTAAAACAGGGTTCTCCAAATGGTCAGTATCGACCCCTAAGGATCGATGGGACTATCCATTATCATTGTTGTTATTATTCATAGTACTATTAGTTAAAATAGTATTTATTAAATTATTTTCATATA